AGAAGAAGAAGAAGAAGAAGTAGTAGTTGTAATAGTAGAAGAAGAAGATATCCACACCTAATGTGGCATCCATATTAAATATATCTGTAGCGGTCATTCTATGAAACTTGGCCATCTCTAGATTTCATCTGGCCAGGTAAAAAGTCCTTGCACTACTGGAGATTGAACTCTGAAAGTGTGTTAAGAAGCCAGTCCACTTTAAACAGAAAACAAGTTAGGAAGCCCAGTCCACTTTAAACAGAAAACAAGTTTAAAAAGCCCAGTCCACTTTAAACAGAAAACAAACACCATATCTTGAAAAGCTAGAATGGGTAGATAAAAACATTTTGTGCGCAAATAGCCAAATATAATAATCCGGATGATACGCTTTATTTTAAAAACAAAAACGATAATATAATAATAATAATGACGGTGATAACTTAAAAAAAAAAAGTGAAGAAATTATCTGTAGAAATAATAATCAATAAGGAGTTGTGGAGAAGTAGGTAAAAGCTTGTCCCCTACACAAAGATCTCGAGTTCGGATCTGTATTGCACCGTACTGTGTTGGTCGAAAGGCATAGATATCGCAGCCACGCTGCAAAGCGGCACAACGCAATTACATCTACGAATGTTACAGAAATAAGCAACAAGGTTCCAAGGTTGAACCTGATTAAAATTAGTAAAGAAAATGTCATGGTGAAAAAAAGTGACTTTCATTTAGAAAAAATCCCCGCGTGGACTCCGGTACCACATTGTGGGAGAGGGAAGAATGGAATCACTGCCCCCCAATAAGTTTCTGTCGAGGTCGGGAGTAGATCTGCCCCAGAGATGAAGACCCCACCAACAGTCTGCATTCATATGTGTGTTTTTCTCCCAATGCTTGTTAATAACACTTTGGATTTTTCTTTTTCGTTCCAATTTAAAATCCCATGTTGTAATTTGGGGAAATGGCGGCGGGAGACGTGAGGGAATCTTGGCATGTACGCAATGGGTGAGGTGGAGAGGGGGTTTTAGGGAGGGAGCTCCACCTGAAAAAAAAGGTTAATGCATTCGCACCACTGTAATTAATTCAACTCACAGGATCAACAAAGTGTCCCCGACATGGAGGTGACAGCCATTCAATCTAGCCACTACAGTGACAGAGTCCGCAAGTCCCTGGAAAATCGCTTTATTTTTACTTTGGGGACCCTCACACGTTTATTTAAAACGGCCCTTGGTATTACCCCAGCTATAAAAGACCCCATGTGGTCTGTTCATTTCACTGGCAAGACATCAACGTGGCTGCCTCAGGATACGTCAGTTAAGTGAAATGTATATGTGTGATTTTATTTGATTTACGTATGTACTGATGAGGGCACTATAGCCGCAACGTTAACGTTTCGTTTGTGCTTGTTATATTGTGAAGCTCGCAGATCTACTTTTCGTTCGGTTTTATATCTTTCCAAGTAATTATTTCATGGCCAGCACAATGCTCACCACACCACCACCCAAGTGCCTACTGGTCTATGGAAATATAGGTCTAGCCCTATATACCCAATGTGTTTAAAAGCGTGGCAAATGGAGCTTTACTTTTATGTAATTAATACTCTCTGGCGAGTATTGACACCTTCTTAAAAACTCTGTGGTTAGTACCGGCACCTAAAAAAAAAAAATTAGTCATCGTCTTATCTGCTATCATGTACTTCCACCCCTCCATTACTTGACTTCTTTCTTTCTAATCATTCCTGGGATTTCACCACACCTCGGCCTACAACATAATAAAACGAATTTACTTATATTTGCTTTATGCAAAGTAATACATAGGCAATGATTTTATCTCTCTCCCGACTCCTCTCCACATTTCAAAGCATGTTTAAATACATTAAAACACGTATATATTTAGAATTGTAATCAATCTGTGTAATGTGTTAGCGCAAAATTCGCATTAGTAAATCAGTAGCACCAACAGTAAAATGAAAACAAGCAGTAAACCATACCAAAAAAGGCCCTATTTCACGCCTTTAGGCGTACTGGGCACATAGGGCTAGATCTGTATTTTATACACTAATCAGCATTTAGTAGGTGATATGGTCAGCATCATGATGGCCGTCTTTACTTTCCAGGATTGCAATAGGTACTCCCTCAAGGCTGGGTCAACCTGGGTAAAAAGGGCTAGACCTATATTTTATAGACAACTGGTGGGTGATGTAGTCAGCATAACGCCGGCCACTTTTACTTCCTAGGACTTACCTGATACCTCACTTAAGGCTAGGTCGACCTGGGAGACAAGGTAATTTTTGACAAAAATCCGGCCTTCGTCAGGAACCGAACCTGCGACCTTCCGATCCGCAGCCGAGCGTCTAGCCGCTAGACCACGCCGGCTCCCAAACAGTGGTTGTAGGTAAAGCAAAATATATTTAAGGGACAGCAATAAATATGCTAAATATGTACAGAACACTAGAGTGTATTATAGTACGACAGAAGTATGCTTTCTAAATAGGAAGAACAGCAGCACAGTTTGGCAGTTAATATTTTATAAACAGTAGTATAGTGGTGTATAATTTATGATCGTATAGACACAAAAAGAGTATAGTGTTGTAAAGAAAAAAAGCTAAACACTATATTGTAGTATCGGATAGCATCAGGCAGTATAGCACAAATGCAAAACGTAGAACAGTACAGCAGACTAACAAATTATAATAATCTAGAATATAGCACAGTGCAGTCTTATTATCGTATAGAAATGTATAGTACGGTTTAAAAAAAAAAAAAAACATAGTAAACTATAGTATAGCACGGTACAGTACATTAAAGTATAATATATAGTACTATGAAATACTGTATGGTAAAGTACATTTTAGCGCGGTATAGTAGAGTGCTGTGTAATACAGTAGAACATAGTACAATAAGGTAGTATAGAGTATATTATAGTAAGTAAAGTAAAGTAAAGATCCCTTTTCGCGCCTTTCGGCGCATCGGGCATATGGGCAGAGCGTCCCATATTTTTACAGACCATCAGCACTCTGTGGGTAATGTGGTCAGCATTACGCCGGCTGTCTTTACTTTCCCAGGACAGCCCGTCCTGGTACCCATTTTAGGCTGGGTCGACCTGCGACGTCCCATACCACGACAAAAATCCACGCAGCCTGCAGTGGGTTTCGATCGCGGTATGCTGGCTCACGAGTCGGACTCGCAATGCCTTAGCCACGGACGCCGCATATTATAGTACACAGTATATAAAATAATTGATCGTACATCTTAGAAACCTATATAAAGTATAGTATAGACTAACGCAAGACAGTACAGCACAGGGTAGTCACGCCAGCTAGTTAGTTACATGTTCTTTACACCCCCATGTTCTTTACACCCCCATCACGTCCTTTACACCCCCATCACGTCCTTTACACCCCCATCACGTCCTTTACACCTCATCACGTCCTTTACACCCCATCACGTCCTTTACACCCCATCACGCCCTTTACACCCCCACGTCCTTTACACCCCACGTCCTTTACACCCCCCACGTCCTTTACACCCCCACGTCCTTTACACCCCCACGTCCTTTACACCCCCAAGTCTTTTACACCCCCACGTCCTTTACACCCCCAAGTCTTTTACACCCCCACGTCCTTTACACCCCCACGTCCTTTACACCCCCACGTCCTTTACACCCCCACGTCCTTTACACCCCCAAGTCTTTTACACCCCCACGTCCTTTACAGCCCACGTCCTTTACACCCCCACGTCCTTTACACCCCCACGTCCTTTACACCCCCACGTCTTTTACCCCCCCCCACGTCCTTTACACTCCCACGTCCTTTACACCCCACGTCCTTTACACCCCCACGTCCTTTACACCCCCACGTCCTTTACACCCCCACGTCCTTTACACCCCCACGTCCTTTACAGGCCGTGTTCTTCACAGCCTATGTCCTTTACATCCAGCAGAGAACAGTGTAGAAGAGAACAATAAAAAAAAAAGTGCAGCATAGATAGTAGAGATCAATCAGAGCACTACCGAGTGCAGTACATCGCATTACAGAACCAACACATCTACAAAGTATCCATCAACAAAACGATCACTGTACAAAGTATCCATCAACAAAACGATCACTGTACAAAGTATCAATCAACGAAACGATCACTGTACAAAGTATCCATCAACAGAACGATCGCTCTACAAAGTATCCATCAACAAAACGATCACTGTACAAAGTTTCCATCAACAAAACGATCACTGTACAAAGTTTGCATCAACAAAACGATCACTGTACAAAGTTTCAATCAACAAAACGATCACTGTACAAAGTTTCCATCAACCAAACGATCACTGTACAAAGTATCCATAAAAAAAAACGATCACTGTTCAAAGTATCCATCAACAAAACGATCACTGTACAAAGTATCCAATAACAAAACGATCACTGTACAAAGTATCCGTCAACAAAACGATTACTGTTCAAAGTTTGCATCAACAGAACGATCACTGTACAAAGTATCCATCAACAAAACGATCACTGTACAAAGTATCCATCAACAAAACGATCACTGTACAAAGTATCCATCAACAAAACGATCACTGTACAAAGTATCCATCAACAAAACGATCATTGTCAAAGTTTTCATTCACAAAAGTCTCACATCTACAAAGTATCCGTTAACAAAACGATCACTGTACAAAGTATCCGTCAACAAAACGATCATTGTCAAAGTTTTCATTCACAAAAGTCTCACATCTACAAAGTATCCGTTAACAAAACGATCACTGTACAAAGTATCCGTCAACAAAACGATCATTGTCAAAGTTTTCATCCACAAAAGTCTCACATCTACAAAGTATCCGTTAACAAAACGATCACTGTACAAAGTATCCGTCAACAAAACGATCATTGTCAAAGTTTTCATCCACAAAACTCTCCCATCTACAAAGTATCCATTAACAAAACGATCACTGTACAAAGTATCCGTTAACAAAACGATCACTGTACAAAGTATCCGTCAACAAAACGATCACATCAACAAAGAGCAAGGACCACTAACCTGTGCATGCATTGTTGACAGGCAAAACATTCTAAGTGATAGACGTTACTCTTGGCCCGCATGACCATCTCGAATGCTGGAATGATCTTCTTACACGCTGCACAGTATCCCGTCGTGCCGAACAACCTGGAGAAAGATCATCAAACGTGATGGCATCAACAGTAGTGACTCTCGGCAAGCTGATAACAGCAAGTAATTAATAAACACAACACAAACTGTGACTGGACAGCTCAAAAGAAAAACAGATTAGCACAAATACAAGCTAAAGTTTCCGCCTGTCTTTATCAGTGTACAACATTACTGAACAAGTAAACAACCAAAAAGGTCATCATGGAACCGGAAATGCGTAACAACAGAAAATAAGGACAGGAAGGGCTTTTTAAAGTTAAACATATAATAAGTTGGAACACTGTCTCACAGTTTCAGTGTTTTCAATCCTGAAAGGATTTTTGTGCAATATACCTCATCTATATACTTCATATTTTTATTTAACTGTTATAATTCTCAATTCTCATTTGTTAAAATTTTTAGAATAACTTGGACCAAGAAGTAGAAAACCACCGACACCCTACATGATCTGAGCATGGAGGGAAACTGGCTCATAAACAGCATTCTGTCCGGAAAACTGAGGTATTTTGACCATGTTAAACGTCACATGGTGGCCTTGGGTGAGCGGTGATGGGGGGTGCAGATCTCCTTAAATGTGGAAACAAGACACTGAGGATGCAGTCAGTCAGTCAGTCAGTCAGTCAGTCAGTCAGTCAGTCAGTCAGTCAGTCAGTCAGTCAGTCAGTAGCATGTCCTTTGTAGAACCTTGCTCCCATAACAACCCTCCGGAAAACTTCTCGATGATAAGAAAGATGTTCCGCGTCCGATACACCCATATGGAAATCATCCGCCACATCCTGCACACATCTTCTCTTTGGCAGTACACTTCCTCTCTTCCCATCCATATACCCCTTCATTATTGTTCTCTCTAAACTTTCGTGACGTTTGAAATGACTAACATATTTCAGTTTTCTGTTCGACGTTATATAAAGGTTCAGCCAATTAATAAAGATGAACTGTTGTCAGTGTTCAAAGCACACAACGCTGCTGTGGAGGTTATTAGTTGCCAAACTTGACCAAAAAAATTTATAAACTGGACTTTCTTAAAAATGACCTTGATTACCAGGTCGACGCAACCCTGAGTGGCTATCAAGTGAAGTCTTTGAGGTGTCTTTGAGAAGTAAAGGTGGCCAGGGTGATGCTGACCACATCACCCACTGGATACCGATCAGTCTATGAAATACAGGTCTACCGCTATGCCATCACACCCGAAGGCGCGGAAACGTATCCTTTACTAGTGAAACTGGCTTATCAACAGCCAGGAGCAGACAACTCCACGGCGTTGGGTCTTCAAGTGTAGACAACCTAGCAGAAAGGGAAAGAATCAACAACAATAATTCTCCCATTCTGCTAACACTTACCTTAGGTAATCTCTTCTACACAGCAGTAGGTTTGCTTTGCTGAAGAGGGTTGATCCGACCTCTCCTAAACGGCAATCACAGCAGGAACATTTGAGGCAATCCTCATGCCAGAAGTGGTCCATGGCCTGTGGAGAGATACGAGAAGAAATCTTACACATGGGAACTTTAAGACCACAACCTCGTGATCATACTGTGGTCACCATTACATACAATTTAAATATTACATGTGAGACGAAATGTGTAGATATGCGTTAAAAAAAAAAAACACACAACAACTAAAACAAGACAAGACAAGAATCACCAACGATAAACTAAACAATGTTAGGCACAGTACATGACTGGAGGGAACATCAAAGAATCAAACAGCTGGGTTATCTGCTCAGAATGGGACTAAATCAGCCAGCAGCTCAAGCGAACTTCATCCAAACAGAAGGTTACAAATCAAGAGGCCGACCAAGAAAGAGATGGCTGGATGGAGTAGAAGAAACACTGCAGAAACGCAATTTGACAACACACGTTACGTAACTAGCCATAAACCACACTCCCCAGGGCGTAGAGAGAACACAAAAAGGCACACCTGAATCGACTCAGGTGTGGGGCAGGGATTTACTACATAAAATAAAATAAAAAAATAAAAAACAGATTTAAAGCAGTCGACCCATAAAATTTGACATCAACACAAGCACGATGTGCCTATGGTCGAGGCAGCCAGAAGAGCTAGAAACAGAACCTTATATCTCCCTCGACACCCACAGCGGTAAAAGAGGAAGTGAAGAAGAAGAGAAGAAGTGAAGAAGAAGAGAAGAAGTGAAGAAGAAGAGAAGAAGTGAAGAAGAAGAGAAGAAGTGAAGAAGAAGAGAAGAAGTGAAGAAGAAGAGAAGAAGTGAAGAAGAAGACCCATAAAATCGAGAAAATAAGTACTTTCTAGAGAAAGAATAAGTTCCACACACAATAGGGGAGCTACTATTTTCAGACTATGAATGCCTGTTCTACAATAAGGGAAGCAGACTGAAAGAACATTAAACAGACTATGTTTCACAATCAGAAGAGATAACATGAAAATATATACTACTAGAACTGAATTAATGCGGGTCTGCAGAATTCATGGTCCGCTACATATCAGGTTGAATGGTACTTGTCTGAAGCAAGTTCAGGAATAAAAAATATCTAGGAAGTATATTCTCAAATAACCGGAGAATGTACAAGCAAGTATGAGCGCCAAGAAACAGATAAACAGACATATTCATACCAACACTGTGCTACCAGTGCCAGACTTGGACATTATCAAAGGCTAACCTACGTCATGAACACATTTGAAATGAGATGTCTGAGAAAAGCCGCCAACTTAACCATCCGAGACAAAGTTAGAAATTATGTTATTAGACCGACTGAAGGAACAACACCATGCAGCAAATTTATTAAGAAACAGAAGATCAAATGGTTTGGTCATCTAGTAAGAATACAACCAGAGCAACTACCAACACAGGTGCTACACATGCAAAGATCTAAGTGAAATCAAGAGGCCCATCAAGGCGAAGATGGATTGATGACATTCAAGAGCTTCTACATCAATAGTGAGTGACAATGGCCATTGCTGTCCATCAAGCAATGGATCGCAAATTCTTCGTCCCCACAACACTTAACGACAGAAGTGGAAACTGATGACGATGACGTAGCTAGCGCACACACACAACACACACACACACACATAAAGCAGGAATCTACAGCGTACTCCTCCCTGTGACGATTTACGGTATATACAGCAGGACACACACATACACACACAAACAAACAAAAGACTGCCTCTACGACGGCTACTATACACTCTGCTGTGTCTTTCTATCTGCTATCTACTATACACTCTGCTGTGTCTTTCTATCTGCTATCTACTATACACTCTGCTGTGTCTTTCTATCTGCTATCTACTATACACTCTGCTGTCTTTCTTTCTGCTATCCTCTTCATTTTTGTGAGAGAACATTTCTCCTCCTGCTCCTTCTCCTCCTCCTCCAGCTCCTTTTCCTACTTCATCTCCTCCTTCTGCTTCTTCTCCTCTTCCTGCTCCTCCTCCTCCTCCTGCTCCTACTCATCCAGCTCCTTCTTCTCCTCCTCCTGCTCCTACTCCTCCTACTCCTCTAGCTTCTTCTTCTCCTGCTCCTACTCCTCCAGCTCCTTCTTCTCCTCCTGCTCCTTCTCCCCTTGCTCCGGAGATATCCTTGATCTTAAAATACCTAAAATCGAACTGTAAGAGATAGGGAAACGACATGTGTTGTTTCGGAGTGACAGACACACCCACGTTATATCTCAGTCTTAGTCGAGGTTTCAGCATCAATGTAATCGAGCTACCCCATACCTCCTCCGTGCCTGTGCCAGTGAAAATCTCTCACTGTCCCATTTGAACAAGTGGTAAACAAACAATTAGTCCCGGCATAAACCAGCAATATGCGCACGCAATAAATGTATACAGCTGCTTCTAGAGGTGCCAAAAGCCAACAGTCGCTCCCAGAAATGCAATGTCACTGATGAATTTGTCGGGCGTGATAAGTATAACATGAAGTTATAAACAAACAAGTTATAATATGTTAAACGATAAGTTATGTATGAAAATCTACATGGGTGATAGAATAGCGAAATACAGTTTCAAAAACGTAGCCTAAGATTATATCGTGGAGGGCGCAATTCATGAAGAAAACAAGAATGAAGGCAGAAGTGACCGCAGAAAGAATTAGAGATTGTTTGTTTGTTTGTTTGTTTTAGTATCCAGAAGCCATGAGCTGTTAACCCTTAGGCTCGGTATTATGGATATCGCAAATTTTCAGCCTTGATTCCATTGTAAATACCGTAAATCTGGGAGAAATGTGGCTTTTTTGCCTACCCCCGGGAGTGGACCCGGACCACGAGGAGTTCGTCACCCGGTCACCGCGCAATCCGGTCTAACCAACTACGCTAGAGAGCCGGGCAAAGAATTAGAGATAACCACACCAAATACCAGTGGTGACAATAACGGTCCTGAAATCCTATACTATAAATGTGAAAAACTTCTGTTGTAATGCGGGCGGGTCTTCCTAGTCACACTCGCCATCGCCATGGGTTATGAGTCCCATGCCACTTCATGGCACGATATAATACTATCGTCTGGAAAGATAGAAAGTTAGTCGAAAGATTATCCTTTTTGCGAGTCGAACCACATAAGTGCTCGGATCCCCTCCTCAGTAAATTCCGCAGCGTGTAGAGGCCGAGGACACCAGTTCTGTGTTAGTTTATTCTTCTTCTTTGGCTACCCGCGTAATGTTCTTGTTTGGCGACATCCCATTTTAACTTGCTATTCTTGCAGTCTGACCATGGTTGCAGATTTACAGTTCTCAATTAGTTCACGTAAACGTTTTGATCCTCGTAAAGCATTCAGTATATCAGCCTGGTCCATGGCTTGTCCGGCTTTCACAGTTGCCTTACCTGCAAGTCTATCAGCTGGCTCATTTTCTTGTACACCCACATATACGAAAATGAAACTAATCCTTGTCAGCCGTGAACTCTGTGCAGTCACCAACAACTGCCTTCGGAAAGACGGAAACTGCCAACAACAAAGACGATTATAGCAATAATGTATAAAGAATAAAGCTGACAGATAATGACGATGACAAATGATAATGCCAAACGTTGAGATCTATGTGTTTATGGTCTTTATTCGAAAGAAAAGCTGGCTTTACAAGGTCTTTTATAAAGATCATTTGTCATTTTATATTTTCAACATTTTTATTTTTCGAATTATTATTCATTGAAACGTGCAATAAATAACAGAATTCAGCATATGTTGCTTGCATTATTTATGAATTATTATTAATAAGCGATGAAGTCATTCATCATATTCTCGTGTCTACTTGGGAGATTCAGAACTTACAGGTTTTCTTGAAATGTTTTCTTGTTTGGGTAAAAATAATTACCTGTTTCAGTAAGGTGTTTACATGAAGTGTATTTACCTGTTTACGTTAAGTGTTGACATGTAGTGTTTACCTGTTTACGTTAAGTGTTGACATGAAGTGTTTACCTGTTTAGATGTAGTGTTTATTTATGTCAAGTGGCTGGCCCTAAAAATAAGAAAATTTCTTTCGGTGATATATTGCTTTTCTTGACCGTGTGGGTTTGGGAGCATCAATGGGTGAAGAGGGGAATGGTGAGGGAGGGGACGGATAGACCCACTGCCCCCATAACAAGCATGTTGTTTGAGACAAATAACTAGAGGGGTTTCCTTCTAAGTCCCACTGCTCCAATCTGAGAGGCGTGGTACCAACAGTCTGCAAAGCCAGATGTGACAAACGGATGTCTGCCCAAAACGTCTGGCACAACACCAAAGTTCAGATTTGGACAAACAACCAGAACTTACCGCCGGAGTTTACAGCCGGTAAACGCAAAGAAGAGAAGATGGTCTTTCCGGCTTTCCGTGTCAAACATGTATAATACATTTTCCACAGGCTTATGGTTTAATGAACGTCTTCTTCTTCAGCATTCCGAGCCACTGAGGGTCACTGCTGCAGATGTCACTCGCCTCCATTCATCTATACTCTACAAGAGATGCCCCATCCTCTACAAGAGATTCCCTATACTCTTCAAGAGATTCCCTATACTCTTCAAGAGATTCCCTATACTCTTCAAGAGATTCCCTATACTCTTCAAGAGATTCCCTATACTCTTCAAGAGATTCCCTATACTCTTCAAGAGATTCCCTATACTCTACAAAATATTTCCTATACACTACAAGAGATTCCCTATACTCTATGAGAGATGCCCATACTCTATGAGAGAAGGACAATGTCCCCTTGACACCCAAGTTACAGAACCCAATCTCACCTTGAGGAAGAACCTGTCTGTGATTGGCTTCTTGCAGGACATACACTCCTGATGATTGGCCGCCTTCGCCATTACAGGACTCAACTCTCCAGTTGACATTGGGATTGGACCTGAAACGGGTCAAGAGTTGTGTCATTCAAATGTCTGAAAATTAGAGGTAAAAGTTAATTTATTTTCAACTACAATAATAATAATAATAATAATAATAATAATAATAATAATAATAATAATAAGTTCTAAAATAACAAAAGTAGTATTAGGACCAGCAGTGGTAGTTATAGCCACGACAGTAGAAGCATTGGTCAAGGATGTTAGCAGCAAGCAGTAGTAACAGCAGCAGCAGTAGTAGCAACAACAGTAGTGGAAGCAGCAGTAGTAGCAGCAACAGTAGTGGAAGCAGCAGTAGTAGCAGCAACAGTAGTGGAAGCAGCAGTAACAGCAGCAACAGAAGTAGAAACAGCAGCAATAATAGTTATAGCGGCAGCAGTAATAGTTATAGCGGCAGCAGTAGTAATTATAGCGGCAGCAGTAGTAATAGCAGTCACATATTTTAGTCACAAATTTCACAGATTATAGTCACTAATCTCCGTAGACATTTCACTCGGGATTGAACGACGCCGTTTCGAAACGGGGCTGCGTGGTCTCGAGGCATGGTGTCCACCTTGAGTGCTAGAGGTTCCGGGTTCTATCCCCGGTAAGGGTTGGGATTTGTCCACGTGGAATTAGACTTCTAGTAATTTCCCCTGGTCTCTAGGAAGTGAGATCAGACGTCCGTGTGCGCACGTAAAAAATTGGCAGCTAAAAATCGAAAAAAAAGTAGCCTAACGGCGCTGCCCGGGCAAACATTTAGAGTTAAAAATCTACCCAAAGTATTTCAAGATCCTCGCCGGTGCTACAGAGTCTGTGCACTGTGCTGAGCTTCTTCGACTCAGACTTGAGTTAGAAACAGAACGGAGCACTTATGGGAGCCATGATGTTGATCCGTTGTTCAAACATCAAACTTTTGAAACGAACCCGCGATCTTTGGGGCATGATTAAACAGCTTGAGTATACGCCACGAAGACTCCAATTCACAAACTTTTACACATTATATAATGTTTATATACAAGGTCCGACAATTCAGTAATGAGACTGATTTTATTATGGCCAAGACAAAAGTGCCATCTATGAAGCAAAGCATGGAACCCAAAGAGGCAACCTTCATCTATGATCTGGAAATTTTGCCTCGCAGTCTGATAAGCAGACAACAAACAAGCCGCTATTTTATTGACCTAGTTAGATGTGCATTGTTACGAAATCAGCATTAAGCAAAAAACTAACATTAAATTCTGTTTAAAACTCAGAAAAAGCGCCATTGAGACAGTTGCATTGATGCGTAAAGTCTATGGGGATAATTGTTTATCTGATGCACAGATTTTCAGCTGGTATTCACGATTCAAAAGTGGTGTAGAAATGATTACTAATGCAACTAGACCTGGACGCCCAATTTCGGTTTGTAATGATGAACTTGTTGTAAAAGTCACAGAACGGATACAAGAAGATCGTTGTTTTACTGTCAAGATGATGGCAGAAAATCTGGTGGTAATAGAGAGACCCTTCGTAAAATTTTAGTGCAAGCTTTTGGCAAGAAAAACAGTTTTCTTGTAGGTTTGTATCACATTCGCTGTCTGATGACCAAAAACATCAGCGGGTTGAGTACCCAGGAAACATCATCAAAACAGGAATTTATTGCCCAAAACAGTGTGTTTTCAACTATCCATTATATTTCCCAGATTTGTCTCCTTGTGATTATCTTCTATTCCCAAAATTAGTTACCATTGAAAGGACGCTTCTTTGACAATATTGAAGGCATCTAAAGGGCCGTAACATTGACTTTAAGGGCCATAACAACAGACGCGCTACAGAGGTCATTCCAGTGTTTGTTAGATCGTGCTACTCGCTGTTTCAATGCACAAGGGGCTTACTTTGAAACAGATACAGGTTATATCTTTAACTGTTGATTATTTTAATTTTGATGGAATTAGTCTCATTACTTAATTGTCGGACCTTGTATATATAAATATCAGTAATAATTAGATGTCCCCCCCCCCTCCCCCAAATACCAAAATAATGAACAAGCACACGAACTTTATGTTGAAAGGGTCACAAATTAGGCCAACACGCCAATTCCTACAGTCGACCCTCCCAAACATACATCTGACACAACACAGTTATAACATACCATTTGTGCTGTATTTTTCTATCGGGTTTCTATTAGATTGACATTCGAACAGTGGCTCACCGAGTCACCGCTTTTAACCTTTTCAGAAGATAGTTCTAGAGGCGGAGCAATTGTTAAAGTTGTGAAATTCTAAATTCAAGAAATGGATTCAAGTGGCGGTGTGTGTGTGTTTGAGGGGGGGGGGGGGAAGGGGGGGGAGGGGGGGAGAGGGGGGGGTGGAATGATACAGCTAGAAAAATCCAGAAGGAAGGAGAAAAGTGGTGTGTATGAGTGTGTGTGCGTACGTGTGTATGAGTCTGCTGGGGTGAGTGTGTTTAAAATAAAATAAAAAATCAGAAATAACAAACACATATAAATCCAACTAGGCCGATTAAAAGATTAAAACAAATGAAAGGATGAGAAAAAGTAGCAGGAAGAAGGAAACAATCAAAAAGAATAAAATCTGAAAATTACAAAGTAAGAAAATAACAAGGGCAAAATTTAGCAAAGAAATAGGTGTGAAGAAATACTCTACCATAGGTGCTGGAACCTGAACAAAATAACGCCCATCAACCCCAATCCTATCCCCCCCCCCCCCCCCCCCCCACTTTCCCCCTTTTCCCACGAAAATTAAGAAGAATGCTGTCATTGCTTTTTAGGTGCCGTCTCCACAATTAAAGTTGGCTGCAATAGATCTCCAACACGCTCTACCTCTGGTCTTGATTGTCGACTTTCTCTGACTGCTCTTTGACCATTTCCGCATGCGGAGTTTCTACTTGTATCGTTGTCTACCTCTTGCCCTCCTGCTCTCTTTAAACGTTGTCAAAATATTTCAGTTGTTTCTTTTCTTATCTCGTTCACTAATTCTCTGTTCTTTCGCTGTCTTTGCATAACTTTTTTGATTTTGCTTTCACCTACTCTGCTGTATATCCACATTTAGCGATCGCTTGACAGTAGCAAAACATAGTAAAGATTCCCTTTTACGACTTTAGGCGTTTCAGGTATATGGGAAGATGGCTCGTATTTTTAACCCCCCCCCCCCCCCCCCCCTCCAAAAAAATTTTTTTTGTTTTTGTTTTAAAAATATGAGAGAGGAAGAAATAACAGACAGAAAGGGTTAAGAAAAATATACAGATAGAAACAAACTGTGAAGGAAAGGAAAATACGATGAAATAAATATAAGGACATATTCTACTCCACTCCACCGAAGAAAAGGGAAGTAACAACTCTGAAAACCGAATCTCCTAGCAATTTTTCTCATGAGATTCCTAATCCACGAAAATACGAAACATGAAACATAAAACGAAAGAAAACAAACCAAACCATTTTTTACATACAAATCTGACTACATTTTTAATTGGAATATTTTTGTAAATAAAATAATTTTATCCGGAATATTGAATCCTTAATGTTTTTCGGATTGAAAAAGCCAACACAACAGGATTTTGTGAAGCTTATCTGTAAGATTTCAGAATTACATGCGAGAAGATTGTGCGCAGAAAATAAAACAAACATCATGTGTGTGAAGGGTTGCCAGAGGGGAAGGGGTAATGGGAGAGTGGAGGTTGAAGAATACATTTCCCGTGTGGATATTAGGAGTCTTACTTGAGGGAGGGAAGGGGGAGGGAAGGAGGGAGGGGGAATGGATGGGAAGGGAGGGGGAATGGATGGGGAGAAAAGGGGAGATGGATGGGGAGAAAAAAAAGGGAAAGGGGGGGGGGGGTAATATATCTACTGTATCTTAAATATGTCGTAAAAGGTAATTAATTAAGTTTTCCTCTAATCCAGGGATTCCCAAACTGTGCGCTGCGGCGCCCCGGGGAGCCGCGACCTCTTTACAGTGGCGCCGCTAAATATCGTAACAGCTGCATAATTAAATTAACCAAGACACGAATATCCATACTTTTACTTAGGTTAGGGCGCCGCTGAAAATTTGTTATTGAAAACGGGCGCCGCGACCAAGAAAAGTTGGGGAAACACTGCTCTAATGGAAAGAAACCAACACTGTACACACAATAAGCTAGACCTTTAGAACGGATTTGAAAGCAAAACTTATGATGTGAAATACTTTTCCGTCTTTATTCACCGGATGTAAGCTCCGGCGGAAAGTCATCCATTCGGCTTTGTGCCAAAGGCCTGAGCTGTGCTTGTACATCCGTTTTACTGGCTTATCTGTGTGCATTCGGTTGTTTCTTGCTGCTCGGGCAGATGCACTCCGACTTCGAAGGAAGCTCCCAATTAACTGACTCCAACGCCAAGCTTATTGGGAAGGCAGTGGGTCTATTCTGGCTTTCCTCACAATGGGGTCTCAGAACCCACACAGAAAAAGATCTGAACAACTAGTGCGCATTACAGTAACATGTCAGGCTATTTTATTGTGCAGATTGTTGGTTCCTTGCCAACAGTCACAGCACGCCTGAAAGTTATCTTTCGTTTAGGTAGGTTATCTTTTGTTTAGGTAGGGTTATCTTTCGTTTAGGTAGGGTTATCTTTCGTTTAGGTAGGGTTATCTTTCGTTTAGGTAGGGTTATCTTTCGTTTAGGTAGGGGTATCCAGCTAAATTTACCCAGGGGCCCAAATTTTGAACATGAGGGCCCAACGTACAGAGGTCATTGGCAACGTTCCACGGACCCCTTGCTAGGCCTCCGCGGGCCAGATTAGGTATGTGGGCCAGATTAGGTATGCGGGCCAGACTAGGTCTGCGGTCAGATTAGGCCCTCGGGCTGTCAGTTGAATAGCCCCGGTTTAGTTTCCAGGTATATTTTAAACAGTCGTCGTATCAAACATGGTCGAGGACCTCAACCTGCAGCAGTAATGTGTTCGTTTCCTTTACTGGCGTTTTTCCCTCCATCAACCCAGGTATACTCACCTGGTTTCACTTCCAGCTTTTGTTTTTCTGTTATGGCTTTT